GTCACTGTTTAATTATAGACTATTGCGAAGACATACTCAACATCTGAAACAGCTGAGAATATAACGTGGCATCCGCCGACTTCACACGATTTCTTCCATATCCGAATGAGAATACAACTTGATGTGTCTCGATTGTAGTCGGTCGCACATGTCGATATCGTCCGTACAACCTGTTGGAACCATTTATTTACGTAACTTTATTCTCTTCCGTGTATGTATAAGATAACTGAAATGTGGTGCCCAGGTGAACCATACTCCTTTCTGACACTTGACACTAGTGACGTCTCTCCTGACATCGATGACACTTTTGACAAAATACACTAGGGTTATTTAGGGTTCAAATTGGCTCCAACACATCCTGTGTTGTAAGTTGTACTATTGAATACGTGAATTTGTAGAGAACGAGGATATACATACAGCTTTACTATCGATATGTCGCGCTTTTGTATGATAAATTCTTGTATGTCACAGCAAAATAAGTGTAGCCCTCGGCAGGTGTGCATCTCAGACTCTCAGAGCCTTCGACTTCAACGGCGACTCTACTAGATATGTACATACCGCCTTATTGTATAGAGGCTACTATAGTATGTAACTATACGCTACTCTATTTAGAAAAAGACAGTGCAGGGGTACAGCATAACCCGCCTGGTCTGAATTTTTTTCTCATTATTTTCCATAGCCTTCAATTGTACCTTTTCATGTCGGATTTAGAAGTCTATGCTTTTCATAGCCTTCTGTTCTTTTACTTTTTAGAAGGCTTGTCATAGCCTTCTGAAAATTGTTTGTTCTATTTTCAGAAGGCTATGGCTATGTAAATATTCATTTTTTAATTCTTTTCATAGCCTTCTAAAATGGACAATTTTTTAAATTTTTTAATTTGCATAAGTTTTAAAAAGGGCCCGCCTTGCACTTCAAATAAAGTAAAAATATGTAGCCTTCTGAAAATAGAACAAATAAAAGACGAATGATTTCAGATTTATAATTTATTGCAATAAATACATGCAAAATATTTGTATTAGATGCTGGACCGGGCGCAGACTGCAGGCTGCAGAGTCACAGACTCGCAGTCACAGACCGACTGAAAAACCATCTACCGGTGAACCGGTATTTTAAATTTTTGCCCGCTCTCTTCAGTCTGAACTGAAACTCTGAACAGTGAACTGTGAACCGCGGCGCTGCCAGTAGGGCTAATGCTGCAGTGCTGGGCCTCCCACCAGTGGGGAGTCTGACTACTAGTTGTATGGCCTGGGGCCTGTGCCCTGGTGTATTATTATAACACGCGAGTTGACCACGGCATTACGGCTACCCCCAGCCCCCAGCCCTGCAGTCTGCAGGCTGCACTGCCCCAGTACTCCAGCAGTCGCCACTCGCCTGAGACTCTTAGTTACTGTACTAGTATTTAGTAGAGAGTCTGCGCCATGGCGGAACTTCGAACGAATCAAACTACAAATGGCGACAATTGGTCCATTTTGCTGAGAATTTCAGTTTTACTACATAGCATAGATAGCAAACATTTCGGGGGGGGAAATCGAAACCAAATGTATACTAAATAGTCGACCATGCGAATTGCGAGCTCGTCGTGCGTGCTTCAACTATTTTTTTAATTAAATATACATGCAGTCAGTAGTGGACCTTTTAAAAAGAGGCTAAAGAAAGGTGTAATATTGTAACTTAAGGGTGAGCAACAACTGTATCCAGAACGATCAGGTATATATTTCAGCACTTTTTTGCGTTCGATAAACTGTACTTGTGGATAACTTCTTGTAGTGAGTTCAACCGTCAAGAATATAACAATAGCCTAGAAAATACTACCAATTACTTCATGTTGTCTTTTTCTCACGAGCATACTTTCAATGAGCTGCCATACTATTTCTTTATCCGATTTATAAATAAGCTATA